CAAGTTCCTGCTTTACGGATCTTTGTTTAGTAAGTCAAGGCCTTCCATTCTTCGGTCCTTCGTCTATCGCCTTGGTATAAAAGCCTTGATCCGTCTTCGGCTTTGGAACCAAGAAGTGATTTCGACATGAAACCTGCGACAACTTTTTGTGAAGGAAATGAACTGAAAGTAAGATTTCATCTGGTCAATTATATCGAGCCTGATCCACAATTTGCGGTATCTCTAACAAAGCCTGAACCATCCACTTGGCTAATACATTAGATATCCAAAGACGTCCTAGTCGGACTAAAGCCACACTTCGCTTCGCTTCCTCAACTTTGTCGAACCTATCCAGCAGCATTCTTGGAAGGTTTCGAGTGGTCACTTATAGTAGTGTTCGAAAACACCCAAAAGGAAATAGGGAAAGATATATCCCATACATTGAAAAGTAAGCTTTCACTTCAACAGAGATAGAAAGTCGTTCTTGGTGGGTCAGGAGATCGAGACGCTGGACACAATTTATTCTTATTTCTTTCACTGAGCACCATTCTCATTGGAGCGCGACCCTATATACATATATATATATATATATTATATATATCTATACTTATATTAAAAGGTATCCTATTTACCAGAATTAGTATAAAGAAAAGTCAAAGGTAATTAATGTTTGCTGGAAATAGAATGACATTAATTACAGATTTGTTTTTGTATTTATAGCTTGACATTAAATATTTGTTATGGGATAAAAAACCCGATTTTTTTATCTTTGCTGGAAAAGTCAAATGTAAGTATAGAGTTGTTTTATTCCATAACATCGGTTTAATTAAAATAATCTCATAAAATTAGTTTTAATGTCAAGCCTATAAATAAAGATTTAATCGGTTTTAATAAAGCAGATTTAATCCGTTTTAATAATTGCATAGAATTTCAAAGCTGTTATTTATTGTAAAAAAATTAAATTCTAAAAAAACATTTTTGTATATTTTGTAAAATGTTTGTAGAAAATGATTTACATTAAATTTATTTACATAATTTAAATTAATTACATTAATAGATAATATGAACATACATTAAATATTTTAATTACATAAAACAAAAAGGAGAAGGAAGATTACATCTATAACTTATAATAATAATGACATTATACTACAATAAATTTTATAATGAAATAATATAAGTATTATACGAGGAACAAGATTACGTAAAATTGTTATTTTTCTTATATCAATAAATAAATATATATAATGAAATCAAATTTATATTATTATAAACATGTGAGCGAGATAATATATAAATTAATTTATGGGCTAGCGCTACCAGACTCAGGTTCAATGTTCCGACAAAAAAATGACGTTGATGAAAAGATGTAAAAATATAGATGATCGAACTCTATTATTTTTTAGGTCTTAACGGACAAGCCCTATGGTCCATTCATTTAATATCTCCCGTGAATCGCACGAGCTACTTAACGGACAAGTTCTGTGGAAATAACTCATTAATACTTATGTCCCGTGCATCGCACGGGCTACGTGCTATTATATATGTATATATATATAGGGTCACGCTCCGGTGAGAATAACTATATATATATATATATAGGGTCACGCTCCGGTGAGAATAACTTTTAATGCGAGAAATAAGAATACGTCATAGCCATGAGATCTCATAATCTAACGGCAGAGAAAAGTAGAAATTTATGTGCCAGTGAGGGTATACCAGACTGTTTAATTTCGTTCACACTAATGGGTCCCACACACATTCCTCTCCCATTCTCTCCCGCATCTCCTCTTGTTACTTCTCACACACCATCTCCAATCTCCATAACTGCCCACCTCCAAGCTCCATGCGCCCCTCTGCATCCACAGTCGCCCATCTCCAGCCGCCGCCGCAACCACCTCCTTCGTCACTCCTCCTCCCGCCGCCCCAACCTTCTTCTGATATTGTCAATTTCATGTGAATTGAAATAATTTCTATCCCGTCATAGTACCCCATCGCCGCCACCTCCTGCAGCGGCGTCTCCGGCGGATTGTAGGAGAGATCGAGCAGGCATAGGGGGAGACTGAAACCGTCATACTAGATTCGTCGGTGGAGAGATCGGGCTCAAGAATTTATGGTATTTCGGACCATCCGAAATTTGAATTCTGGCGATCTGAAATTTCACGGCGAGAGGATGAAAATTGCACGGCGTTTGGGGGGGAGGATGAAATTGCACGGCTAGGGGATGAAGGAAGGGGCCGACGGCGGGGTTAGGTGGAGATGAGCGGTGGCAGCGTGAATTTGGGGGGATGGGATTGAATTTGATGTGTTGAGGACATTATTTTGAAAATTTGACAATATCTAGGGACTTAATTGCAATTGTAGAAATTTTATTATATTTCACTTTTTTGTGTTTGAGTAATATTTTATTTTAATTCATAGGTTACATGTATAATTTATTGAAAATTTAATAATTGTACAATAATATTTAGTACATCAAGAATGCACATTAGCAATTTACATAGTTTTGATTAATTTTTGATATCTTTTAAATAATTTATTTTAATATCATAAATAAAGATATAAAATAGTAAATATATTTTTTATAATAATAAAAAATAAATTATTTCAATTATTTATGTTATTTTGATGTATTTCCAAAAACACATAATATATATGTGATCATATGAAATAGGACACTTTATATATCAGCACGATTCACTTTATAAAGCAACACATTGCATTTTATAAAATAACATGTTGCACTTTATCAACATGCTCAACAATTAACGTCAACAACTACCTGCAAAAAATGTCACATAGCATAAATCTAAAAAAACAGATAAACATAATAATTTAACACCAATCACATCATTTATTTACACAAAACACTATCACGCTAACGTACCAAAATTACATTAGTTCACTTTATACGTCAACACGTTGCACTTTATAAAATAATATGCTGCATTTACAAAACAATACGTTGCACATTAAAGATAACCAAACAACAGATATATATAACAATATTATTATTTTTATTTTTATTATATGTTTAAGCATTGAACAATAAAGCTAGACCAATTGCACTTTAATGACTATCTGATTGCATAATGTCGACGAAAGTCGACCAAAAAAATATATCTTATTCAGTTCAAAATTTTATATTTTGGTGATTGCGAAATATCTAAATATAAATTTTCTTCGAAGTTTTATTGTATTTCGGTTTGATTTACTTTTTTTACATTAAAATACTCGATTATTTTAGTTTGGTGTCAGCTTTCTTTTAAAAAAACCCGAAATAACCAAATGAACGAACTATATATAAATATTATTATTGATATTATTATTATTATTATTATTATTATTATTATTTTATGCATTACAATTGAACAGTAGTGTTAGACGAATTTTAATAATGTAAAATTTTAATATATAAAAATATTAAAATAAAAAATGTACATTTATAATAATAAATAATAAATACATACTGCACAGTAGTGTTAGACGAATTGTACTTTAACGACTACCAAGTTGCACCATACCGTAAGACAAGTTGCACATAATGACCGAAATTGAATGAACCAAAATTTTGTTTTGAAATCATATATTTCGGGTCGATTTTATCTATTTTTATTTGTAAAATATCAATTATACCAAATCAATATGAACATTATTTTTTTAAAATAAACAAAATAATCAAACCGACTACTTATATATATATATATATATATATATTATTTATTTATTTTCAACTAGAAAAATATGAAATATAAAATATAAATATTAAAGTCTAAATATATTTTTTTATAATTTAAATATTAAGTTTTTATATTATTTATAGTATTTCAGTTACCAATTATTTAAATTCGGTTTTAGTTTGGATTAGAACAAATTATTAAAAAATATATACACTGTAAGTGCAGTATACTGTTATATGAATTGCACATTAATGACTATCGAATTGCACTTAATCGATTGAACTAATTTTTTCAGTTCGCTAATTTGTTTTTACTTCTATGATCACGGTTATTTCAATTTGTGGTCGACATTATTTTTTCACGTAACTATAAACTATATATATATTTGTAACAAAAAATAGTACAATAGTTAAGCTCGGTTAACTAAAATAATCCCGTTAACCGGTCAACTAAACTAATTATTTCAATAAACTAGTCGAATTTAGTGTTTCATATACTTTTTATATATGAAAAATAACATAATTGACCGAAATATATGAAAAATTTATATTTTATATCATATATATATTATTTATTTCAACAAACAATAATATATGGTATTAAATAAAAAACATAAATACTAAATATATTTTTAGTATAGAAATAAATTAATAAGTGCACAATAATATTAGTTATCATTATTGTGCATTTAGTAGTATATTTAATAAACTACATATCTATTTCATTAACCAAAGTGCAAATATATCAAATATTCTTAAATATTGCCTATAAGTCCCTATATCTAGTCTAATTTACAAAATTAGATCCAACCACCATATCTCCATATCCGCAGACATAGCATCATCTCCTACCTCCTCTCAAATTGACCCGTCAGCCCGCCGCACGCCACCACCGTCGCCACCACATTCACCACTGAACACACCATTGAAGTTCACTCAAACCCACATGGAGGACACGGAAAAAAAAAAAAAAAAAAAAAAAAATTGGCAGATCTGGGATCAGCGGCGCCGGATCTGCACCTGTACGGCGGTCTGGCGGTGGTGCTCGGCCCCTTCGCCTTCACGCTCATGGACATGGTGTGATTTTACTGTAAGTTCTCCGGCCACGTCGAAAACATGGAAGGTGGAGGCGACGTGGTAAGGATCTCAACTCCGGGAGAAGGCGGCTGCGCTGACGGCAACGACGCCGGAGATGGAGGATGCGTTGGTGTTGAGAAGTCGGATAAACTGGCCATGCCGATGTCGAGCAGAGCGCCTCTGTGGTGATCATCCAACGGGACTGTGGTTTCGGAGGCGGCGACCGGCCGTGCCGGCGGCTGAGACGTTGGCCTTGGTGGTGATGATGGTTGCCGACGGGCTCGGCTTGTTTGTGTGTGTGTGTGTGTGTTTTTCTGTAAAAGGAGTGTGTGTTATGTGTGAGAGAGGAGGGAAGGATGAGTGTGTGTTGTGTGTGAGAGGGGATGTGGTAGGTGACGGATTTGTTGGGATGGTTGATGTGGGTCCCATTTAAAATATGTGTATTGACCAACTTACCCTTAATTATTGGTCAATGTACATATTTGACCACACTATGATCAAATAATTATCAGTTTGCCATTAATGATTGACCATATTTTGACTTCATCCTAACCATTAATATGATTGATCTCATGGTCCAGATTAATTCTCATTTCTTTCACTATCTATCATCTCATATGATCCTAACCCTATATATATATATATACTAGGAGTTTAGTGCTGTGCAAGGCACAGCTGGCCCAAGTTTATGTATTTAATTTTATATGAAGCTTGCAAAATATAAGACAGAGTATTGGATGATCAAAAGATATTGGGACTATAGTAGTCCGTGACAATACACAAAAGCATATTCATATACAAAAGCATAGTCATTAGCATAGCACATTGAGTATTTTCCTTTTACAAAATCCAAAAGCATCTATATGTATATAGATGTTTCTAATTCTGTAAAGGATTTGACCACAAAAATATAAGTTTTTAGCTAGGTTTTTCTAATCCTTCAAATTTCGAATTTGCACACAAAAGAAGCATCCATTCGTCATGTTTTTCTAGTTCAAAAGTCAAAAGCTTGAGGTGGTGAGCCAAAAGTCAAAAGCTGGAGGTGTCGAGGCGTCAATCCATCTTGGGTCAACTTTTCTTTGAAGGGCTGGCAGGTAGATCTGCATGTGTTTCAGGATTGAACTGGCTTGGTTTTGGTGAAGCTTGTTTTGATGGCGCGGCAGTTGTGATTGAGGAAGAGGCTGTTGGTTGGCTTTCAAAGTTGATGCGTTTCTTAACAAGTGTTTCTGAACTTCCTATGCTTGGATCTTTCTCAATTTTCATGGAAACAGACTGGAGTACATTTTTGAGTGTTGGGGTGAAGAGTTGCTTTTCCACAACCTGTTTTATAAAATAGAAGAATTACAGTAAGTTATTGATTAAATAAGACTGCGAAGAAGTCTGAATTGTAATTGTAGTTTATTGCACCTGAGGTGATGATGAACTGGGTGTGTCTTTTCTGGGGGGTTGGTCTTCAAGCATATTCTTCTCGGTGTTCATGTCGTCAGCGGTATAGAGCTTTAGAATTGTATGATAAGCAGACTCGGTATACTTAATGAAACATACAACTCTGTGCTTTTCTATTAATGCTTCAATTTCACCTTTTAAGTCTTGGCCCTGCAGAACGAAAGTATATTGAGTAGTCATTTTAAGTGAGTGTAAACATAAAAGGAATGCAAATCTATAAGCACATTATGTGTTGTGAAGAAGACTTAAACATTTATTCTGATTAGTTTGTAACTAATGTGTTTTACTAATGACTATAACCAATATATTGCTTTTATCATTTAAAAATTCAGTGAAGAGAATACTAACATTTTTCTCTGCTTCATACAAATCATTCCCGCTGAATGGGATAATTTTCTCTGCATCAGTCCCATAGATCATTGCATATAAAGTTCCTGTTTCATCCTTAATCACCATTGGAATCCGACACCTATTATTTAAAGAAAAAATTATTTATTAAACATCGTGTAAGATTATATTGCTTTATTGTAATAATAAGTATTATGAGAATTGTGTACCTTGCTTCAACGTAAGTATTTGCCTGGCAGCTTCGACATTTCATTGCCGTGTTTGGCGGCATATTGTAATTCTTGCGGCAGTTGCTGCACGTGGCTGACCATAAAGATTGCTGTCGCCTGCGAGCTTGATTTTTCCACTTATCCAACAAGTCTTCGTCTGAAACAAATATTAAGAATATACAGACTTAAGCCTTTAAATTTTATCTTTGGCAACTAATAATTCAAGCATCTAACAATTCTAGCAGTTGGATAAGTATTTACATTTGATATACAACATTGCATAATTACCAAGTATAAATGATTGGATGGAACATGTTTTTTTTTCATTAAGTTTAGTGGGAACGACAAAATTGAAAAATAAAAAAAAATAATATTATCCAGTGATACTTTTTCATATTCGATTACATTACTGGATTTAAAATGGTTATACAATTACAGAGAATTTGAGATAGTAAACAGTAAGAAAAATTTGTAATCTTTTCTTTACATCTCAATAGTGTGTTATTCTAGAAGATATTATTTTGAAATAATTGACAGGATACAAAAGGAAATTTAATTTGCCTATTGCCATGAACTACAATGCTACTAATAAGTGTTACCTTAAATAATTTAGGCATATATCAGAAACACCAATTACTATATAAAAAGTCTGATTAGCATAACTGTAATCTGCATTTTAGTTGTTTGATATAAACACAAACATAGAATCCTTTCTTTATTGCAGTAGTTTTTTAACTGAGTCAGGTGATAATGCACAAAGAATTAGAAGAATGGAGTAAACATATTAAGTGCCGACGGTAAATGCAATAACATGTATGCTTGATTTAATTGACTATTTGTATCGTTGGGATTTGAGATCTTACATATTTGAGGGATGCCATTGCCTTTTGCACAGTAGTTATATCATTGCTTTCAGGCCATGGGTATAATTTGTCTGTGTTTTCATATTCTCCTTCATCGATAAGCTTTGCAACATAGGCTTTGTTCTGAATATACCTGTAATGGAGTTTTCTTTATATAAATAGATATACATGTAAATTTATAGGTTTATATGAGAATTAAGGTTAGAACATACCACTGTTTGAGATCGGCTGCGGCAGCTATAGGTGGATTAACCATCAAGCAAGTCCCTACTTTAGTCGATAACGACAATCCTTGATTTCCAAGTTGTTGTTTTAAGTAAGTGTTGGTATTTAAGTAAATTGTATTTTTAACACTATTAATCTAAATCATACCATGAAATGTGGTCACTCGGCTTCTCATAACGAGGAGAATGTTAGCTGATGCAATTGTGTTAGCCAGTGTTGTACCGTGGTCTGTCTCGAACTGATTCCATAGTGTAAGAAGCATTGGTTTCATTCTGCAGAATAAACAAATAATGAGTTAAATAATAATTTGCATGCATATATTTTGTTTGTGCTTCATTCAATTAATTTCATTTCTCACTCTTTGTTGACAATGATTAGTTCGCGTGTTGTGTTAGCACCAATAGTCTTTATTGGAAAAGCACGAACAACAACTGCAAGTAAGTCTGTGGATAGATTGCAAATTTGTAGGAATTGTCAGTAAAATGTATTCAGAGATCTTTGTTTTTTTATTGGTTATAAATGAAACTATATAAAATCTTACTCCTGGGATTCTCTGTATCAGCATATTTGTGCAAATTTGCAAACGGATGAATTTCAATTGAGCACGGAAGTTGTGGGGGCAGGGGTTCTTCATATTCTTCAACATTTGTACCTTTGACCAGAGTCCATTTGTACTTGTAATCACCAACCTGATACAGTGGTATCTCTGGACGTACTTTTTCTCCGGAAACGTAGTATCTTTTGTATGGCATGAGCAACGGTGGTGCAAATTCGTCGATGTCAGTGTTGTAAACAACTGCAGCAACTTTTGTGCCCTGTTATATAATGGTGATTATTTAGTAACACCTAAGCAAATCATTATTAGGTTAAATTAACAAAGTAAATGTGTAGAGTAATTATGCACCTCTTTATCTGTGAATAAGTATCTGCGATAATGCATCGTTGAATCATTTTTGCTTTGATGAACGGGTGGCTTCTCAACAACCTGGATAAGCGCAGTCCAGTTGTTGGTGTTTTCCGTAATTTCCTTAATCGGCAGATATATCCTCGACATTGTCACCTGTAGAAATTTGTAATAGAAGGTAGAGGTAGTTAGTAAAAATATATGGTATTTAATATAAGTTAATTTATGCAGAAATGAAATGTGTTTTTCAAATAAAATTAAAGTGCATCTAAGTACATTGTATTACTGAAGCTGCCTCTAAAACTTCATTGTAAACCACGTTTTTGGTGATGTCAAATTCATGTGGGCTGAAAAAAGGCGGTTTGATTACAAACTTAATGTCTGATGATTGTCTTGCACTAGACAATGCTACATATAGTTGTCCATGTGAAAAAACAGGTTCCCTTAAATAAATACCGACTGATTCTAGTGTTTGACCTTGAGCTTTATTAATAGTCATAGCAAAACATAGCCTAATAGGAAATTGTGTTCTTGTGTAAGCCACAGGCACTTGGTCATCATTGGAAGGCTTCAATGGAATTCTATGAATAAAAACGTTTTTCCCTTTGAAGTCTCCCACAGCTATTTGTGCATGGATAATGTTTCGACTTAATTTTTTACATATAAGTCGTGTTCCATTACACAAGCCTTCAGTAGGATCTAAATTTCTAAGTAGCATAACAGGAGCATTTACTTTTAACTGTAATTTATGAGGGGGCATTCCACCTGGGGTTAAAGAATTTATTATATCTTCATAAAGACCTTTATGAATAGGATTATCTACTTCATCAAAACTGAGATATTCCACCATTTCACCTGGAAAGGCATTAATTAATTTGTTATTTATGTCATCAACAAATCTATTTTTAGTAGATAATATTGCCCTGTTCATTTGAAAACTCGGATTTGTATCATTTTGTTTATCTCCATAGTTGCCATTTTGTACTGGAGTAGTTTGCAAATCAGGATAAATTATAGCAATTAGTTGTTCAAGAGCATCTTCTGTATTAGCATCACCCAATATAAGCGAAGGAGGTAAACGCACTGAATTGTTACTACATGTGGGTTCTACACCATTTCCTATTCGTAACAAATATTTAGTAAATAAAGGGTCAAATCGGGCTCTCATATTTTCCGTTAGTCGAATTTTTTGTAGCATTGGCCAGATATATGAATTTGTAATGCATGCATTTATGGTATCGTGTTTATTTCCCCTGCGAACAACAGGTAAAATTTGTCTAAAGTCGCCGCCAAAAACAATAACTTTACCACCAAAGATTTCAGGTGAGTCTGTTAAATCTTTGAGCATACGATCAAGTGCTTCTATTGATGTTTTTTTAGCCATTGGTGCTTCATCCCACACAATTAGTTTGCTTTCACGTATCAAGTTTGCTAAATTACTTTGTTTACTAATTTTATATGAATTTCCTTTTGATAGATCTATTGGGATTTTAAAGCGTGAGTGGGCTGTTCTACCACCTGGTAGTATTGAAGCGGCAATACCTGAAGTAGCAGTTGCTAAGGCTATATAACCTTTCGATCTAATGTCAGCCAACAAAGCTCTGTAAAGAAAAGTTTTTCCTGTACCACCTGGGCCATCAATAAAAAATGCTCCTGGTTTTCAACTATACACACGGTCTAGTATTATCGTAAAAGCCTCTTTTTGGTCTTTATTAAGTAATGATATAGCATTAAAATCTTCTTGACAAACAATAATATTTTTCTCAGCAATTATTTCTCTGTTATCTTCTTCAATATGTAAGGTTAAATTATCTGGCAAGATGTTAAATGAATGAATACTTCTTCCCATTGACTCTAAAAAATCATTTATTTGTTGGAAAACTTTTTTTTTAATATCTATGGCACTCAAGTTTGAGTTTCTTGAAAAATCTTCAGACATAGCTACTTCAAATTTATTAAATAAATCTCTAGGATTGTTAGGACATGAATAAACAAGTAAGTTAGCAAATAGTCTCCTCATTTCATATGGCATTTTAAAAGCTTCTGCTTCTTTTAGACATTGTTCTTGTGTGTTATCATCTTGTAATAAGCCTCTCAAAAAAGCAGCTTCATGATTTGATTCGGCAATTTTTCCATTAAAAGATCTGATATCTTCGAAGGATTTTGGGCATTTAACATGAAGCAGAAGAAGTTTCAGATAATACCTATCGCCTTCATTAGGATGCACAGTGACTATTCTACCTAATGAATCTCTTCCACTTCTCTTTTTCCATTTTTTTTCTTCAGTTAGCCAAACAAAATATTCAGGAAATTTGACATATGGTAAATTTAGTTCTTGTGCATATGAATCTGTTCTATTCATATAAAAAAATTCTGTAAGCATAGTTTTATGATTTCTTGGGTTATTAATTATTCTTTCTAATCTATCGTTTTTTTTTTACAATTGATTTTTTGATAGTTTTCCAAATGGACAGGCAAATTAATAACGGCAGGTTTTATTTCGCTAATTGGAAATCGGAAAATCCTCCATGCAGCTTCTGGTGGAGAAACCCAACGCGCAGTTCTATATTGTTCTATTTCATCTACCTGTATATTTTGATTAGATGTGTCTATGTGAAATGCAATTTTATCGTGGCCTTTACAAATATATTTATAAATATAAATATATTCACAGCTCGTATGGTGGAACAAATCTCTACATTAATATGACAATTAAACTTTGCCAGTAAATATGGGTTATATGGAACCACCCATCTGTTATCTAACATATGGCCTCTAACTTTGACTGCAACATTATTATTTGAACGTTGATACTTTGGATATGAATTGCTTACTTGTAAAGTTCGATCAGAAAATTGTTTTGGATAATTAAATTTACATTTATTGTTTTTGGTCATACACGAATTATTTTCATTCAATTCTCCACAAGGCCCATGCATCATATGTTTCTTGACCATATTGTACAAATGTGGAGTTAAATGTTTATTTGGTATTTCAGCACTGACAATTTTATCAAATTCTTCAGGTCTATACATTTTATCTTTGTTTGCTAGTATGATTAACATATGAGCATGTGGGAGACCTCTTTTTTAAAATTCTATTACATATGTATATGCCACTACTTCTCCAAAGATGTGTTTTTTTAGAATATCTTTTTTCAATTCTTCAAGTTTAGCATGAAAAACTCTAGCTACTAAATCCGGTCGATTTTGGGATTCTTCGTTTTGTTTCAAGATTTCTTTTATTTCAGGCCAATTAGGATTACATGTCATAGTTAAAAATATATCAGGTTTTCCAAATTTTTGTACTAATGACATTGCATCTAAGTATCTCTTTTTCATATTTCTTGGACCCCCTATAAAACCGGCTGGCAAAAAAATTCTTTGCCCAATTTTTGATGCATTTGTTTCTCCTGCATTTAGACTATCCTGTATACCTTGCATAATTTCTTGTCTAATTTCAGTTTGTTGCTTTTTGAAAAAGTCTAATCTCTGTGACTCAATTTTCACATATACATCAACTATATACTGTTGAAACAATCTTCCAAAATTTAACAGGCAAGACCCATCATTATCTCTTATTTGTAATTTGTAGGCATAGTAATCTCTCATGGAAACAAAATTTCGACCCCCGAGCGTGTTAAGATTCACTGAAAGCAGAATATATTATATACGTTAGAATTATCTTATTTAAGTAACTACTCTGTAACTATTTATAACACAACAATCGAAGTTGCAGGTGTTTAGTTATGAACTTACCATGTTCAGCTTCAATTAAATCTTCAGCAGATTCCATATCTGAAGGTGAAATTATAGGCACTGATGCATAAGTTTGTGCTGCCTTTTTTGAGACAGTGGTTCTTAATTTTTCTATTCCTTGATGCCACCCAAGTTCGCCAAAAGGGAAAAGTAAAGGATATTGAAGGGGATCATAGCAACCAAAATAATATTGTATTTTATGCGGAATGCCACTACGGTTATATATTCTTATATCTCTTTCAGATGGTTCTTGATTGTCTTCAACATCAAGCCATAATGCAGCTACTTGAGATGTTTGTGGCTTGTTGTAAACTCTTTGATCAAGTTCAGGAAAAGTCTTCAAAGTGATTTTATAATCATCAAAATTTGTTATCTCATTAAGTGTTCTGAAAAATTTGGCGTATGGATTGTCTCTAAGAACATACATAACTTTTTCAATAATAGACTCAGATATTCTAGGGCAGGCTTTAAATCGGTTGGCAACTTCATGTTCAGTATCATGAAAATATAACTGTAGATTTTGTGATGCTTCTAAATCATTCAAGAAATGATACATTTGCCCTTGTATTTTAAAAGTATAAATTCCTTGATTACGCTTTGTTAAATTTTTATCGCACTTCACTCCCAATGATGTAAATGCAAATTGATTATTAACAGTTCGTATACAGTCTCTAAATAATTTAGCTTCTTCTGATGATGAAAACAAAAGTTCTTTAAGAACATCTGGTGTTGAGTGACTTGCTAGTTTTATAGCACCATCTGAGCAGCAGAACTTACTTGTTTCATATTGAAATTTGAGAGCATTACAATAAGGACGTTTTTTACTTTTAGTTAATACAAAAGGCTCACCTGCAATGTCATCCAAAAGCCCCTGGCACACTTTTTTATGTTTACCTATAATGCAAATGCAAATGTATTTAGTTACTGTTGCCCATGTACTATTTATAATATTTTGTATTAATTTCACAAGTATTCTGAAATTTGAAGTGGACCTGCAGATCCTGATGTATTATTACCAGGGCTACCTGTTATAAGTATTTTATCATTAGACCCCAAATCTTTGTGCTAAAGTAATATCCGACTTAAATTTTTGGGAGACGTAAAAAATTGAATGGAAACTATTACCTGTAGGTTGTGAAGAAGATGTTGTATTTTCATCAACTACGTGCAGATGGCGTAAATTATCGGTGGATTGAATTGAAGTCTGTAGCATATATGGATTACCTATGTTTACATTCGAAGTGCATTTTTCGAAGCGAATACTTTTATATGTTGGAAGAGATTCACTATGATTATGATTAGAATATTTATCTTTATACACAGATGGATGTTTTTGAGTAAATGGTTGTTTATTTTTTTTACCTCTCCATTTTTGAATAGCGATTGACTTATATGTTTGGTTAGGAGATGGTAAGGCAGATTCAGAATAATTCAAAGACTGTAGCAGTGTTTCGTTGGATGCATGTGAATGAAAGATTAATTGACTATGGCTTAAAGAAGGCTCTATTTTATGTTGGGTTTCTTGGTTGATAGGTTTGGTTAATTTATCAATATGCATTTCTTTGTTATTATTTACTGAGTTGTTACTGAAAGTGAGTGCATCATTTTGCTGGTCTGAAAACATAGGATCAATTGTTAATGTTGTACGTTTTTTTTTTGTTTTTCCATTTTTCAATTGCTATTTGCTGATATCTTTTCCTAGAAGTCATGGGTTTGTTACTACTACTCCCTTTAAAGGAATTATTTAAGTCGGACATGTTCATTACACTATGTTTCCAACCTTAGAATCTTTACAAAACACACTATCACAGAAATAAACCAAAAAATAATAACAGAGAATAGCAGGAGTTTATATAAATTCGATAGAGATATTAAAAAAACAATTTTTTTTTCTTATTTAGTGTAAAACCACTGTAGACTAATCTATATTGTCGACAATTTAAGTTTTTTTTATGCAAGCAGTACAATTATTAAGTAGTTTTAATACTTAAGGCAAAACAGCAGCAAGATGCAAGAACTTACCTTAATAATTTCAGCTACATGCAATTACCATGCATGAAGTTAGCAAAAATAACCAGGAAATAATTTATTAAACACATAAGAGGAGATTACGATATAATGAACATAATAAGAAAAGTAGTTGTGGTGTAGAAATTGCTGACCTGAAAGCAATAAACAATGAAGTCTTTCTTTTTATTATGTCTTCCAGAATCCAAAGTTCCTTGATCACCAGTCCGACACTTATAAAGTACACCTTAACCTACCCAAAAGTTCCAAAAATTTCAGTGTTCATTGTAAGCAAAGCACATATATAAGTACTTAAGTCAGAAAAAAATGATTTCATTGTCTAAAATGTATTCTAAAGAGTCCTATTGATAATTAGTGTTCAGCTAAAATTATCTATTCATATAGATTGTTCTGAAAATGTTTTAATGTAATCATATCCTTATACACAAACATATAAACACTGAACTAAAATATTGTCCTCTTATGTCAGGTAAAACTACCAAACAGTTGACAGAAACAACATATATTAATTTGAAGTTGAAAAACTTAACAAACAGTCACAAAAAGATTAATCTTTTATCAGACAACACTATGAAACAGAAGAAAACTTGCGCTTTGCACATAAACACTAAACCCTAAGTTTCACTTTTAAAGTTGAACTAACAGACTCCTAGAATACTCAGAAATAAAGCAATGAGAAGTAGATGATCTCTGTAGATGTGTATCACTTAAGAGCAGATAGTTTAGATTCACAGCAAACATGGTACCTTCTCGATAAGCACCTCAGAGAATTTTCCTTTCACTTGCAAAGCAAATATGAAAGAGTAAAGAGTATAAAAGAAGCAGACCATATGAATATACCATATAAAATAATGCATAAAAAATAGTTAGTGGATGCAACATCAAATCAATATGTAAGTCTAGAAAGAACTTGTCTGCAAAAAAAGCAGTTACATAGAGACTGTAACAAATAAATAGTTAAAAAAAACCTGCAGCCAAATCTGAGAAGGCTTAAAAGTGATATTGGCAATTACTACTTTGAAGATAACATCTTATATTTATTCTTATATTTATTTACTCTTATATACTCTTATGTTATACAATGATAATAAAGCAGATGTAACCACACACAAAAAAAAAAAGAAAAAAATAAACTATTCTGAGATTAGAAAGTTGTACTGCTAATTGGCACTCTGAAAACAGGAAGACCAAATCGTATGAAATAAAGTTACAGCCTCATTATACACAATCTGATCTGAATATAATATCCTATCAAATAAAATTTGCTAAATTAATCTAAAAGTAAAGAAAGAAAAAAGCATTCACAAATCTAAGGCCAAATTTGAGCAACCATAACTGCAAAATAAATTTCAGATGATGACTTTGATTGAACAGGGAAAAAATCTCATACTCTTATACTGCAACCAAAACCAAAACCAAATTAAATAAATTTATAACCTCTCAGTATAAAAGCACGGAGATGAAAAACTTGAAAACCCAAAAATGAACAACGATAATGTACTTATCTTGAGGGTCGTTGGAGCCTTTTATGAACCAGGAGACTCAATCCCACATGATAACCTCTAACAGAACGGGAAAATACAATTAGAACAGAAGGCATAGAAGACACAACATACAATTTCTAATTGTGTGAAAATACAATGGTAATTGAACCCTAACATTCTTGCACTTTCCACTCCCCTTATAAAAACACAATAGC